ACTCACAATGCCTATAAATAGGGAGATCATCTCATTTCCTCTTCAAACTCAAAAACACTGCACCTCTTGCCGTATCTAAGACGTGTTACGCGAAAGCGAGAGGTGACAACAATGGCATTCTTGAAGACTGCGGCTCTTGCAATGCTCATCGGTTCATTTGTCATCATATCCGAGTCTCGTGTATTGGAGAAAGATCGAGAATTGCAGAAAGATCTCTCTATCGGCTTAGGTACTGGAGGTGGAGTGGCGATTGGCCTCGGTGGAGGTCTTGGTATTGGTTTGGGGGGCGACGGTGGTAGTGCCTCTGGTTCGGGTTCGGGCTCAGGCTCTGCCTCTGGTTCTGGTTCTGGTTCTGGCTCTGGTTCTGCCTCTGGGTCTGGTTCCGGATCTGGATCAGGCTCTGGAGCCGGCTCATCTGCCGGTTCTGCTTCGGCAGGTCAGAGTGCAGGTTAGGAGGCCTGACGTCTTGCGCGTCCTGGCGCAGCTCAGGCGCTGCTTCTGTGGCGGACGTCGGCGCGGAGGGCATGGCGAAGGGTATGGGTCGGGTCACGGTGAAGGGTCGGGTGAGGGATATGGTGAAGGTTATGGTGAGGGTTATGGCCGAGGGTATGGGAGTGGACACGGAAAGTGAGTGCGTATAATGATCAGTGTATGATTTCATGTATCGTTAGTTTTCATCTCTCATATATAATAAATAAGGAGATGATGGTGTGATGTCGTGTGATGATATAGCTAGCTTGGAATGACATGGTTTTTTTTAGCTTCCTAATAATATTATCCCTGATGTTTGTTGGCGCTTGTGGTTAAATCTGGAATAATACAGATATATAACAGCAAAAAACTGAACAGAAAACTAAGGTGCAGTAATTTAAAATTTTTCAACTCAGTTATTGTGCGTTTGTAAAACGTTGTGCTTAAAGCATTATTTGGCCTACTCCAGTGCAAGGATCCCAATGTCAAATTGCTTCCAGGAACAGCAGTCCAGTACTCTGGTGTGCACCGATCTAGTACTGTCAAGATCTCCTCGATTTATAAGGCAAAGATCTCCTCGATCTATCAAGTAAAGATCCCATCGATCTATCAGTCAAAGACCTCCTCGATCTATAAGACCTTCTCGGTCTAGGCATTGTTCCTACGAGCACTAGCTATTCTACAATATATATATCTGTATATATTGATTGTTGTTTTTGGAATGAATTTTTCTTAAGGATTTGGAATCTATTAATAGCATATGGGAAAATACTACGCACTAATAAAATAATATATTTTACTATGTATGTGGGGCCCACGAGTCCTAAATTTTTAACATTCAGCAGCCCACGTTTTCACGTTTTAAAAACTTATTTTAAACTTTGCTGCATAGCTGCACTTTTGGACTTTTAATTTTCAAAGATGGCTGCATTTGGACTTTAGTTTAAAAAGTTATCCAACATGTATCTTTTAATCATATTTCAATATATAAACAGGTTTCCTTCAGTACGACAAATTACAAAGGGTTGGATGGGAGTTGCACAGGATAGAAAATAAAGAGACTATTTTTCAATCATAATCTTCTAATATTTAATAGATGATTATAATATGTTTTAAGTGATGAGTGGCAAAATATGCAAATTACTTAAAGGAAAAATTGCTTCTAGCCCCTAATTCAATTACAAGTGTTCCACCCCTTCCCAAGACATTTTCAACGCTCCCAAAACCCCCGAAAGTAAACCCATTATTCTCTGAGCCCCAAAACACAAAATCCAAGAGTTTTAAACATGTGAAGACCATAATACTATTTCTCTCTTTCTCTTTTTTTTTATCTGTGATGATTTCCCTCTCCATCTCTGCGTGAATCCGGTGTCGTTGGATCTCAACCTGCAGCCTTACGAGATCAGCTGGCCCGTGGGCCACATGCCGCCTTCTATGATGCCTTCATCGCCACCGGCGATGGCGGTGGCTCCGTCGTCGACGAATCTTGTTCTTGGAGGGTGCTTTCAGCGGGAGATAATCGATGGGGCCCAAAGGCAGGAGGCCGATAGTGTCGGTGGGAGGGGACTGCCGTTCGTCGTCGATGTTGTTTTAATTTGGTTTTCTGTTTCCCTTTTTCCCCCTTCTTAGAACTTAGTGCGATTGTATATAGTTAAATTTGTTGCCTTTTACTTTAGCTTTTTTGGTTTCTAGTTTAGGAATGAAGGGGGAAGTGGAGTTCAGTTTTTGGAGTAAAAACTTTGGTGCTGGCGTAGCTATTTTGGTGATGAATTAAAGGCTCGGCTTCTTAGAAATTGATCTCTTTACCGGATATATGTGAAGGTGTTACAGGTTGATTGTTAAGGTTACGGGTCAGTTGTTAAGCTTAAGGGTTGGTTGTTAAGGTTACGAGTCGGTTGTTAAGGTTACGGATTGGTTGTTAAGATTATGGGTCGGTTGTTAAGGTTACGGGTCAGTTGTTAAAGTTACGGGTTGGTTGTGAACCTCGGTAACCTCCGTAACCTTAACAACTTACTCGCGTAACCTTAAAAATCAATGCGTAACCTTAACAACTGACCCTTAACCTTAACAATCGACCCGTAACTTTAACAACCAACCCGTAACATTAACAACTAACATGTAACCTTAACAACCAACGCATAGCCTTCACAACCCATAACCTTAACAACCGACGCTAAGCTTAACAATAGACCCGTAACCTTAACAACAAATCTGTAATCTTAACAACCAATTCTTAACCTTAACAACCGACCCCTAACCTTAACAACTAACCTGTAACACCTTCACAACCGACGCGTATCCTTCACAACCAACCAGTTGTTAAACCCTAGAGGGGGGTGATTAGGGTCTTATGCTAATCTAATCCGATTATATACCAATTAAAATTAATTAACAAGTTATCCTAGCAAGTATGAAATACAACAATATATGAGCTAGGATAAACAATATGAACAACGAGATATATCCTAATAAAGAGATATAGGCAATGTATGTGCAAGGATATATAAACTAACACAAGGGTAAACAAAATGAACTAGATAGTGGATGAAATAAATGAGCAATGCACAATTGGCGATATAAGATAAATGCAAAAGCAAATGCGCCAATGACAAACTCAAACACACTCAAATGATCATGAAGTTCGGACCTTCCGTCCTACGTCTCCGCTCCCCACTCCCGGGGAGAAATCCACTATCACAACCGGGTTTTCTACGCTCACCCGAATAACGTTTACACCTCACAGTGTCGGTTTTCAACGCTCACCGAACAACGTTCACTCCTCACGCTCGGTTTTCTAGTTCACCGAAAACTTCACAGCACACTCGGTTTTCTAGCTCACCGAAAACCTTACACCACTCACAATGTAACAAATATAAATTTGTTCTTTACAATAGATGAGAATTCAATTAAGCACAACTCAATGTTACAATCTCTCACAACCCCAAATATATTATGAATGCAAATACAATAAGCTCAAGTGGGTGTGTGTAACAATGAGATTCAATAAATCAAAACTAAACTCAATTAAAATCTAGCATATAGAAATTATAAACAAAATAATAAATAGCTAGAAATGAGTTTAGAGATTCTTCTCTGAATAATAAGATGGAGAGATGGAGATTGAAGCCCAAACAAGAAGATGATCTCCTTCACTTGTGAAAACCAAAACAGCTTTAAACCAAACCCTTAAACAAGCTTAAAATAAGCTTAAACTCTTTAAAAACATTCTCTTGGGTTACGCTTAGAACTGAGATCAAGGGGGTATTTATAGCCTCCCAAAACCTCAGCCAAAAACCCCAAACAAAATACCAAAAAGCCCCAGCCAACGGTAACAAGAAATAGCCGTTGGAACAGAACTGACAGAGCGGCGGTCGACCGAAAAAATTCGCGGTCGACCGATCCAGATCCCAAATTGAGAAAACGAGCGCAGACTTCTTCGATGGAAATTTCGAGCTCTCGGTCGACCGCGACGGTCGACCGACAAACTCTCTGCTGCCCACTGACGAAAGAACACAGGTGCGGTCGACCGGTGCGGTCGATCGAGGACTGATACATGAAAATGAAGTCTGAAAACTGTTTTTCTGATTTTAAAACACTGTTTAAAAATATGAATGATTGTAGACATGATAATAAATATGCTACAATGACTGGTTTCCAAAAAGGACTTCCCAAATAAAAAATATCATCATTTTGCAAAATAGTCCAAAACACGAAAATGTAAACATATGAATTTTGACATTTAGGCTAAACCATGTTTTGAAACTTTGCACAATGATTTTGTAGACTTAATAAAATATGTATATGATTATGGTTAAGTCCAAAAACTAAGAAAACAATATTTTCACAAAATTGCATATCCTATGCAATATATACTAAAACACAATAATAAATATGAAACATGTGATTTCATGAAAACTCAAAAACACATGGATCTTGAACTTGAATTGCATAAGCTTCACCAACATTCCACCAACCTCCTTTGAATATGATCGTTGAAGTTCTATTTCATCCATCCTCCAACTACGTTGTTTGTCTATAATAAATAAGAAAACACAAATACTAGACAAGCAATATTAGTGGTAAATTTTTTGTTAAACATTATCAAAACAAGAAGGCCAACACCAGTAACCTTCAAAACAAACATGTAACCTTCCTTCACCACCAACTCATAAGCTTAACAACAAACTTATTACCATAAAATAACAATAATATATAAATTTACATACTCTATTTTAATCTCAAGTTACCGAGGTTCACAACCAACCCGTAACCATAACAACCGACACATAACCTTAACAACCAACATGTAACCTTAACAACTAACCTGTAACCATAACAACTGACCCGTAACCTTAACAACCAATCCTTAACCTTAACAACTGATCCGTAACTTTAATAACCAAACCGTAACACCTTCACAACCAACACGTATCCTTCACAACAAACCTGTAACACCTTCATAACCGACGTGTATCCTTCACAATGAACCTGTAACCTTCAAAACCAACATGTAACCTCCCTTCACCACCAACTCATAAGCTTAACAACAAATTTGTTACCGTAAAATAGAAATAATATATAAATTTACATACTCTATTTTAATTTCAAGTCATCGATTTCCTTACAAGTATTCCGCCGATGAACGAACGTCGTTTTCTTCCCAGCGGTGAAACTTTTCCGCCGTTTCCTTTCAAATATTCTGCCGAAAAATACTAGTTTTCCCATGAATTTTTCTTCGCCTTTGAACAAATGCCGAAAAAGTATCACTGCCGATGTTGACACCATCGGAAAATTTTGAAGGGAACTAGTATTTTTCCCTTCAAAACCCATTTTAAATCATCACGGTAACATCATGAGAGAGAGGGGGGGGGGGATTATAGTTTTCACATGTTTTAAACTCTTGTGTTTTGTGTTTTGGGGGCTCAGTGAATTATGTGTTTGTTTTTGGGGGTTTTGGGAGCGTTGAAAAAGTCTTGAAAGGAGGTGAAACACTTGTAATGAAATTGGGGGCTAGAAGCAATTTCCCCTTACTTAAATTAACAATGCGTCGCTATCAGGTCTATATTATTAGCCAATTATAATCAAGAAAATGGGCTTATCACTAGTTAAAACTATAGGATACAAATTAATTCGTAGTTACTAGGCTTTATGTCTTTTTCACGAGCTATCCTAGTTACTAACTACTAGTATATATGCAAGAGCTCTCGACGCAACCTTGTTCTACGTATTTCTAGGTTTCTATTTTTGATTCTAAATTTCTGGTTTATGAGATCTTCAAGTGGCATAAATATTAGCAGGAACTCTAGGAACGCAAATTAGCTTGTAGTTTCAAGCCTGAAGTTTCTAATCTCAACTCAATGAAAACTCAAAACTCTTGAATCAGTAAATTATCTCTACAGGTAAATTATATATTCCTCAAATTTAGTTATATGCATATATACACTAGCATTAATCTCGATCAACAACCAAGAACCGGTAATGTCAGTTCTTCTATTGCATTTTGCATGTACGTCTAGAATTGTCTTTTAAAGATTGAATTAATTTAGAAGCCCAGTTTCCCTCATTCACTCTCCATAAGTTAAGGAGTGAGTAATCCGTGAGAAATTTACCATGTTACAATAATATTAATCCATATAAGTTTATGAAGAAGCCCCGAAAAACTTCCATGCGCGTGTAATGATCAATAATTCATGTCCAATTAGTCTATGAAAAAACTCCAAAAAGCTTCTCTGTCTCTCTGCTCTACGAAAAGGAGGGAATGAGGGTAATGCACGGAACGAGTGTAACGCGCAGCAAGTATAAATTTCAGAAAGAATCACGATGGTACGCGGAACGAGTCATGATTTAAATTAGTTAGAATATACCCCAATGCTTACTGTTAGTTGAACTGTGTAGAACAATAATTAGGACAAAATTAGGTCGCGCGTCAAGCTCACTAGATATATGGTTTATTCTCACGTTACTCAAATAAAAACCAAACTAATCATGGCTCGATCTCTTCAGTGCGCTAGCTAGAGCTAGTGGGCTACGTACCATCACTGTAAAGGGTCGAAAGAAAACGCGCGCCGTGTCGCTCCACTATCTACAAATTCAATCTCAGCCACAAACACACTATGCATGCGCAAGGCACGTGGCGCTCATTGCTAACAACACCCCGATCGACCCCAACCACCGCCACCACTAACTACTCCTAGTGCCCACTTCTCTTTGACTTTAATTTGCTCACTCATAATGCCTATAAATAAGGAGATCATCGACCTCGTTTCCTCTTCAACTCAGCACACTACAGCTCTTGCCATCTCTAACAAAGTGTTACCAGAAAGTGAGAGTTAACAACAATGGCATTCTTGAAGCCTTTGGCCCTTGCCATGCTCATGGCCTCGTTTGCCATCATATCCGAGTCTCGTGTACTGGTGGAGAAAGATCGAGAGTTGGAGAAAGATCTCTCTATCGGCCTGGGTGGCGGAGGTGGAGCGGCGATTGGCCTCGGTGGAGGTCTTGGTATTGGTTTGGGGGGTGACGGTGGTAGTGCCTCCGGCTCGGGTTCAGGCTCTGCCTCTGCTTCTGGTTCTGGTTCTGGCTCTGGCTCTGGCTCTGGTTCCGCATCTGGGTCTGGCTCCGGATCTGGATCGGGCTCTGGAGCTAGCTCATCAGCCGGTTCCGGAGCCGGATCTTCTGCAGGATCCGGTGCAGGCTCAGGGGCCGGATCATCTGCAGCGTCTGGTGCAGGCTCAGGTGCCGGCTCTGGGGCTAGACGTGGCCAAGGAGTAGATTCGGGCTCCGGGCATGGCGAAGGATATGGGTCAGGTCACGGTGAAGGATCTGGTGAGGGATCTGGTGAAGGTTATGGTGAGGGTTATGGACGAGGGTATGGTAGTGGACACGGAAAGTGAGTGCGTATAATGATCAGTGCATGATTTCATGTATCTCGTATCGCTCGGATTTCATATTATATTTTTTTTAATTAGCTCTTGTTAAGATTATGTCGATGTATCTTTCGATCCTACGTACTTTATATACAAATATGTTTCTTTTAAGGTAATTCAAGATGATGTAATACATGTTTTCTTCAATTCATGTCTAATGTTAACAAATGATAGCAAATGATTGTAATACGTTTGAGTGAAGAGTGGCAACATATGCAATTTACACGGAGTGCAGCATTATTTATAGGGAAAAATGCTTCCAGCCCCCAAAAACCAAGGAAACGTGCTTCCCACCCCCCCAAGACTTGGTCAATGAGTGTTTTACCCCCAAAAAGAAAAACTCCTTAAGGACCCAAAATATGGGACCAATAGAGGAGACAATTGAGGTGTCCCCCTCCTATTGGATAATGAATTGGCCATCATTAGTGATAGCCAACTCATTATCCAATAGGATGGGGACACCTCATTTGTCCCCCCTATTGGTCCCATATTTTGGGTCCCTGTAGCAAAGCTCCCCTCAAAAATAAAGATTCTGTTCTCTGAGCCCCCAAAACACAAAACCCAAGAGATTAAAATATGTGAAGACCATAATACCCTTCTCTCTCTCTTTCTTTTTTTATTAAAATATGATGTGGATTATTTTATTATTTTTATTTTCTCTCTCTCTTTATCATAATGTACTAAGATGATAGTTGAAATGATTGATGATTATTATTTTATTATTTTCATTTTCTCTCTCTCTTTATCATAATGTACTAAAATGATAGTTAAAATGATTGATGATTATTATTTTATTATTTTTGTTTTTTATTATTTTTCTTGTTTGTATTGCGAGATTGTTAAAGTTACGGGTTAATTGTTAAGGTTACGAGTTAATTGTTAATGTTACGGGTCAATTGTTAAGGTTGTGAATCCTCTCTCTCTCTCTCTCCTCTCTCTCTCTCTCTCTCTCTATCATGATGTTACTTTGATGATATTGAAATGATTGAAGAGGATTATTATTTTATTATTTTCATTTTTTATTCTTTTCGTATTTTTAGAATATTACTTGTTAAGGATAATGGTTGGTTGTAAAGCTTATGCATTTATTATTAAGGTTATGGGTTGGTTGTTAAGGTTACGGGTTTGTTATTAAGGTTATGGGTTTGTTATTAAGGTTACGGGTCAATTGTTAATGTTATGGATCCCTTCTCTCTCTCTCTCGTAACCTTAACAATTAAACCCGTAACCTTAATAATTAAACCGTAACCTTAACAATTAAACCGGTAACATTAACAATTAAACTCGTAACCTTAACAATAATTAAACCCATAACCTTAACAATTAAACCGTAACCTTAACAATTAAACCCGTAACCTTAACAATTAAAACCGTAACCTTAATAATTAAACCCGCAACCGTAATAATTAAACCCGTAACCTTAACAATTAAACACGTAACCTTAACAATTAAACCGTAACCGTAATAATTAAACCCGTAACCTTAACAATTAAACATGTAACCTTAACAATTAAACCGTAATCGTAATAATTAAACCCGTAACCTTAACAATTAAACACGTAACCTTAACAATTAAACTCGTAACCTTAACAATTAAACTCGTAACTTTAACAACAAATCTGTAACCTACACAACAAACCCATAACCTTAACAACAAACTCGTAACCTTAACAACCAACCCGTAACCTTAACAAACAATGCATAACCTTTACAACCAACTATTATCCTTAACAACAAATATTCTAAAAATACGAAAAGAATAAAAAACAAAAATAATAAAATAATAATCCTCTTCAATCATTTCAATATCATCAAAGTAACATCATGATATATAGAGAGAGAGGATTCATAACCTTAACAATTGACCCGTAACATTAACAATTAACTCGTAACATTAACAATTAACCCGTAACTTTAACAATCTTCCAATACAAACAACGAAAATAATAAAAAACAAAAATAATAAAATAATCATCATCAATTATTTCAACTATCATCTCAATACATCATGATAAAGAGAGAGAGAAAACAAAAATAATAAAATAATCATCATCATATTTTAATAAAAAAAGAAAAAGAGAGAGAAGGGTATTATGGTCTTCATATATTTTAATCTCTTGGGTTTTGTGTTTTGGGGCTCAGAGAACAGAAACTTTATTTTTTAGGGGTAAAACACCCATTGATAAAGTCTTGGGGGGTGGGAAGCACGTTTCCTTAGCCTTTGGGGGCTGGAAGCATTTTTCCCTTATTTATATTAAGAGTACATCTAGTAAATATAGAGCTTTTGGGAGGAAAAGATAAATTTATTTATTATATCGTGATGTTTATATACATGTATAAGACTAAAGAGTCTAGGTGGAATGTTATCATGTCTATATTAATTATTAGACACTTAAAATTAAGAAAATAGTCTTGCCAATTTTAAAAGTAGAGGATACAAATCCATTGTTTGTAGGCGTTATGTCTTTTTCACAGGCTATCCTAATTATTAACCACAAGAGTTTCGAGTCACTTTTCAGCAAGAAAATTAAATGTTTTCACTGCAGATTTTATTATTGTCGCTGCTGATGTAGTTGTTATTGTTATTATATTATTGTTATCAGGAGGAGGCAATTGGATGATTATGGTTCCTTAACACTCGACACGATCGCGGCTTGCGTATTGGTTCAATGCCAATGTTTTTAGCCGTTATGTAATGGATGATTTGAATGCTGAATAAAATATCTAAATATTTCTATAATAATAATAATAAGTTCCTACATGCTGAGTTTGGATTTAAAACACATTAGTTTTTACCTCCATTTTAAATAGCATTAATGTGTTCATGTCTCTTTCTAAAGTGTGCATTAGCTCTAGATGCAACTTCGTCATAGGATTTCTGATTTTTATTTTGGTTACCCCTTTCTGAGTTTTTAGCTTGGAAATATGTTGGAAATCTGACATGATTATGCGGGGTTCAGATTCTTCCCCCCCAACCCACCCACCCAGCCTTTCAATTCAATTTTTCACATTTTCTGGAAAATCAAGTAGACAACCCCACAAACTTAAATGGGCTAAGGCCCTTATTTCCTGGAAAAACAAAATATAATTAAAACTTAAACTCTTTTCCGAGTTGGTAAATGTCTACAAGTAAATTATTATTTTTAAATTTAGTAATATGCACATGAACTCGGATTAGTTAGTCTTGATCATCCTGTAACTGACAATGTCCTTCTTATTGCATTTTATTGCCAATATTTGATTGCAGTTAGAAGGTGACTGAGTGAAATGGCCTTAACTTAAAGCCCATATTTAACACAGCCGAAAACTGACTAATGTCCATCTCTTTTGGGCTGAGAGAATAGCAAAAAAAAAATTACTTATATTTTTTGAGGGTTGATTGAGAATAGATCCCCTCCTATCACTCAATTGCAATTAGATACCCTTGTAGTTCGATTTCTATAAATAGATCCCTATGGTACTAGCCCGATGCCAATCCACTCTCTTAGTGAATTTTTTCAACCATTTTAAAAGTTAAAAAAATAGCAACCAGAGGTTTATACTCACAAATAGATCTATAAGAGATATATCCGTCTTTTCAAAACTTTTTTAACGGTTTGAAGTGTAAATCAAATTTCATCCAATGAGTTTATTGATGTAGAACACACGGTAGACACGTTTATGTCAAAGTGGGACAGTCGCAAGCCCAAATATGGGCATGATCGAAGAAAATAACTTGTTTCGAAGAAACGGTCGTAACTTTCAAACCGTACGTCGGAATTAGACGAATTATATATGAAAATCGACTATCTCAATGAGACGGGGCCATCCAAACTGAGGGTTCGGTTTGCTTCCTCAGTTTCGTCAAATTCCTTACGGTTTGAGAGATATCTGCATTTTTGTCCGTTTTTACTATTTTTAGTAATTCTTTAGGAGTTGTTTTGATTAGGAAACAAAGCCGATTTGATCTCAGATTTGACCGGTGGACTTTCCTAGTCGTAAGGAGTATGTCAAAGTGGGACAGTCGCAAGCCCAAATATGGGCATGATCGAAGAAAATAACTTGTTTCGAAGAAACGGTCGTAACTTTCAAACCGTACGTCGGAATTAGACGAATTATATATGAAAATCGACTATCTCAATGAGACGGGGCCATCCAAACTGAGGGTTCGGTTTGCTTCCTCAGTTTCGTCAAATTCCTTACGGTTTGAGAGATATCTGCATTTTTGTCCGTTTTTACTATTTTTAGTAATTCTTTAGGAGTTGTTTTGATTAGGAAACAAAGCCGATTTGATCTCAGATTTGACCGGTGGACTTTCCTAGTCGTAAGGAGTCTTTTTAGGACTTTTAATGTTTTAGGATTTTTTTTTACTATTTTTGGTAAGGCATAATCCTTGTAGGAGTTTGAGTCCTTGTAAAAGTCTTGTTTCTTTTCTATTTAAGTAGGGTCTTGTAAGCCCTACATGCATAACTTCGATTAATAAATTTTCGTTTTTCTTCAATATTTACTTCGTGGATTCAAAGCTCTTAGTGGATTTGAAGGTTGTCCTTGGTGGATTCCGAGGCTACTACTTTCGCGTTGCGTCATCTATTCGCACAAATAGAACTACAAAAGGTCTATTCATAATGGATGATACCACGTGGGGTCTATCGGCAATTAACCTTCTATTGTTCTTGAATCAAACAATTAATGTAATGCCAATTTCTTCTGCTCGCTTCCTTTTCTTCGGAATCAATCAATGATATACCTTCACTGTCGTGAAAGTGATATCCTTGTTGCAGAAAAGAATCTGGAGTTTATGTACACACTAAGTAAAGTTACATCAACGTATTCTTCTTTAAGATTCTTTAAATTCCTTTGGGAGTTGAGATTTAGAATTGGAGCAAGGAATATTCCAAGTTATCAGACAGCTAACTAATAAGAGCATCAAATTAACCTAGAAGATTTATACACGGAATGTTCTATCTTAGATTCCTAAATTACTCGTGAGCGACTAATTAACCTTATATCTCTATTGAAATATTTTTCTTCCTTTTCCCATTTGATTAGTTTGCACATGTAGTTTTAGACAGGTCCTCTTCTCAAATGAAGGTGTCCTGAAAATGGGTCTAAGGTGATAATACATTAATACCCCTCTTGACGACGCTTGAGAGTGTCGATGCTCGAACCCGGGGCCTTCTCGATCTCTTGATATGAGCTGAGTTTGTAACTAGCCACCAAAAGAATTGAGAAACACAGCGTACTCTTTATAATCACCATCACTTATTGTTTAGTATATAACTACAATTTATTTTGACGAGTGGAAAATTAAAATAAATTCAATTCAGCCCAACATAAGTTAATTGCTCATTAACTCCACCACTAACCGCCCAAAGTCTCTCATAGTCTCCATATTCAGCCCAACACCATGTGCCTTTATGCTCTAAAATCTCAGCCTCTTCGTTAGTTAGGTAAAGCGTCACTTTATCTCCATCCTCTCTCTCTCTCACCGACGCTTTCGGTGTACGTCACTACACTCAACTCCAGTGTGTTGCACTCCACGACAACACTCATCCTACCGTCCACGTGGCCTTTAAGAACACCACAAGGACGCATCAAAGAGGGCCATACCGAATTTGGGAATCTCGGTAGGATCGTGATAAGGTCGGGCCCCACGCGGTCGAGGACCAGATTGTTCAGCACCTCGGCTTTTAGCTCGCACGGATTCTAGTGCAGTGTGAAAGCTAACTTTTGGCGGGCCCACTGTTATAACGGGTCCAAAATAGTCGATGTCTAGATGGGCCCGTCCGAGCAACAGACCCGTAACGGGCACCGCTTTGTCCAGCTGGATGACGCATGCTGTAAGAAAAGGCAAGGACGATCGGACGGCATCCGTACACTTTGTACGCCACGCGGCGAAATCTAGAGGTACGATCTTCGACCCTAGCTGTCGGTGCATAAGTTATTCGTACATCCACAGCTGGCGCACATTCCTTGGAACTTAGACACTAATCTCTTCCAGCTATTTAATTCCGCAATTAAATAAACAATAAAAACTAAGATAACTAACTCAGGAAAAACCCCGAGACGCGTCGGTTATTTACGTCATTGCCATCGCCACTTCCGGTAATCCGGCGATGCGCCGGCGAGAAGCTAAGAAGTAGCGGAAATAAATGCAGACTCTTTTTTTTTTTTACAGAAAACCCCACAACACGAAGAGAATTTAAAAATGAAGGCCGATAATGTAGTAAAGTAGACAACCACCCCCCATCTCCTTCCCCTTTCCGTCTCCGCCAAGCAAAGAATCGGTGTTTTTTCGGGACATTGACAAAAAAAACCCCTAATAATCGAATCTTTTTAAGTAAAAAGAACATCAAAACAAAAAAGTTTCCAAATAATTTACAAATTCTTCCCTACTCTCGCATACCCATAGTAGGAGAGGTACCACTTAACAAATTTCTTCAGCCCCGCCTCCAAATTCGTGGTGGGCTTGTACCCGAGCTCAGCCCTGGCGTAGCTGATGTTAGCATGAGTAAAAGGCACGTCGCCGTTGCCCGGCATCTCGATGACATTCTTCTTCGCCTTCACCTTCAAATGCTTCTCCAAGATCGAAACCAACGTGGGCACGGTCACCGGCGATGTGTTCCCCAAATTGAAGATCCTATACT